GCTCGCAAAGCGAATCTCTTCCCATGCAACTTCAGCGGAAGTCAACTACTTCTTTGTTCTCCACCTCCTCCTGATATAGTATTTTGCTATTTCTTTTTTTGCTGAATATTCTACTGAAAAGGTTAGAAGGCATCAAAATGAATCCCCTTTCCGTTCCTTGGTGAATAGTAAAATATTAGGTATTCAGTGTACGTACTTGCGTAAAAGCTGTTAGCGATGTAACCTTAGAGCGGGAAACTTGTAATGGTCATCGATATCTCCCCTCAAGTTGGTTTGAGTCGCCTTTTTTGATCTGTTATCGATCGGCGTGACGTTGTTCAAATTGAAGAATGGACCAGGAGCGCACGACCACACCTAGGCACACAAATTACCTATAGCCGTATAGAGTCCCTAGCAGTGGTTGGAAATGTGAAATCCGCTTTCCTCGCAGTGATTGGAACAAGCTATCCTCCAAAGCTTTTGGGATTCTACTTCTTGCTACCGACCCACGAGAATGGACCGCCAAACGCGATCAATAGAGCTTCAAAACTGCTACCTAAACCAACGTGACTGATTACGTGGATGGTTTAGGCTTGAAGGTAAAATCCGCTTCCATGCCGTTTTAAACAACTCCTGCAGTTTATCCTGAATGTGAATTTCGCAAGTTGAACTGAAAAGAATCTTCTGCTTCGATCCCTTTTGAGATGTCACGCCTTCCATTTCCCATCAAAGTCGTAGTGACATTTGGAATCGGTGTGGCCCATAAATGACTTGTAGGGCCGGCTGGTGAACATGTCTCGTTTTTCTGCTTTTAGATATGAAAGGTTTTATTGGTAAGAGCGAAACTCGACCTGATGTTAAAACCCCGGACCGCCTATCTGAGTGGGAATTGGCGCCACTCTCCTCAAGATCACCTCCGCTCAAAAGAAGATCGTAGAAGTTAAAATTACATCGGAGAATAACTACCTTCCATTAGAATCTTACCAGAAAATGGCGTAAAAAATTCCGCGGTGGTTATCTGTTATTCTCTATGCTATTTTCAAACTCGAAGATAATGCCAGACCAAAATCGCACGACCACACCTAGCAAACTTGAAGGCTATATCTAGTGAATTTTTTGTCTGTCCTTGTTCTGCATTGCACTATACATGTGCGGATTGAAAAGATGTAGGCCCTTCGTATCATTACTGATGGCTCTAGTTAGTACCTTTGAATAATCACAATCTGAATATGAATCAAATGCCTTCACTGATGTTTTACCTGGTGCTTGATATGTTAAGTCAGCAAATAGAGGGGAGAAATAGGTACAATAGTAAGCTTATGAGACTTATCACAAGAATGCTGACTTGTGAGCAAAACTGCACCCTCCCCTACGACGGGATTCGTACCCGGATCTCTTGCTTTCCGGGCAATTGTGCTAGTTACACCACCGGGGCACCATTTCACCCCAACTCAGCTTCGATGGGAAAGTTACCATAGCTTATCCGCAGTTCACATGTATATCTTAATGAAACAATTAGCTGATATCGGCGCTGAACCGCAAGGCTGAAAGCTTTATTGGATCTTAAAACTTTTTATGAGGTTGGAGCTAATACCGCAGCACATTCCGAGTAAGCGGGAGCGTTAGTCATTTCAATCAAGAGACTGCTCTGAAATTCTTAAAGAACACCTGATCTGAGCACGATGATGTCGAAGGTCGAAGAGGAGATAATACGCTCATCGTAAGTGGGAAGGGAGCTGAACCTTTTGAGTGTAAGGGAGGATTCACGTTTTGCGCGAGTATGCCTCTTCGGCGTAGCAGAGGCGCTGCGGTCACTCACGACGCTTCCCTTCGGAGGGCCCTTTCCTTCGGTCCGGTTCCTCCTTCCTCTAGTGCGGTTTTCTTCATCCCCGCACTGCTGACCACTTTCCCTGATTTTTAAAAGAGCCTTCTTACTCCGCCTTCGAAACCAATATTACAATAGGGGTGACAATGAGAGCATTGAGTGTTTTACCGTTTGGATGAAGACGTATGTGCATTTAGTTTCGGTTCGATGAGAGCATCTCAAACGTTGGGTATCATCTGGAATGATCAAATGGACGACTTCTCGACGCCCGGCGTATCGAATGCATTCGGTTTCGCCCCGTCTGAAACGAACTTCATCAAACCTGGCAAGCGGCCAATGAGCAGCATGAGTCCAATGGTTGTGTACAACAAAAACGATAACAATGTGAGTTTTCTGCAGAGGTAAGCGTCTGGAAGCCGAAGCGAAGACCACTCGAGCACATGCAGCTGCGCCGCGATTATGCTGACATGAGCGTTTTCCCTCGGGGAAATCAACCGTGATCGGCCGCACTCTTAATCAGCCATGAATAAAGACATTTCAGCGATAGCTATGTAAACTCGGGCATTGTTCACAGTTTGCCGATGGACGCGCGAAACGAACGTGTCTGCGGGTTTGCGGAAGGAATCGAATGCGTATCAATTCGCAAAATGGGAAGGGCATCGAATGGCGCAATCAAATTCGCAAATCCTTCCCAAAAATATATGTGCATCGATCAGGTGAACTGCAGGTGGTCTGTAGGTCGGCGCTTTCGCTGCCTCGACGCGAGCATGTTGTCCGTTTCCACTTTCTCGCATAGGTACCTAGATTCTCGCATTCCATACGTTTCGCGAATTCAGTATTCGGTCGACTTGAAAGCAGTGAGTAATGCCATGGGGTCGAGGATCTCTCGTAATCATCGGTCCTTTCTCTCACGGAGTCGCCTTTTTGATCTGCTATCGATCGGCGAGGCGTTGCCCAAATTGGCAAAAGGGACCGGAAAGAAATGCCAATGGTTTTGTTCCTCATGATATCAACACACAGATTACTTGTAGCCCTATAGAGCCCCTAAATTGAGTCCAAATTTGAAATCCGTTTCCCAGTTTGGCTGCATTGGAAACCAGCCGTCCATCGTCTTTTTTTTAAATTGCCGCCGACTCCAGGGAATGACTGCCAATTCGATCGATACTGAACTGCTGCCCACCCCAACCTGAGTGATCTGAGATTATGGCAATTTTAATTTTTCCCGAATCCAAAGTATATATTACACAGCCGTAATTTCAAACGTTTTTGTAACGATGGCGAAGATTTCGAGGAAAATGAGGGATGATCGAATGTCGAAGATTGTAAAGATTATGTAAGGTTCTGATCAAACGATTGGCACGGAACTCTCGAACAGGTCACTTCATAATTATACATGACTGCCAGGTGATTCCCGGTATACAGATGAGGGTTTAAGTTGTGAAGAAGACCATCTGGGTGTTTACTATAGAATAAATGCTTCGAAAATAAAAATAATGCTAAAAAACCTTAAACTCATCGCCCTAAAACCTCATCATTCAAAATTAACCGGGCTGAGTAAACCCATACCACACCGACAGGAGTTGTAGTTTAGACGGTTTTTATTCCACTTGCACTTGTAGAAGCCGACTGATGCTTGAAATTCGCGGTCACAAACGACAAAAAATTTCCCGACCACTCTAGCAATTTTAGCACCCTAATTTGCGGTAGGTAAGCCTGTGCAAATATCACGTAAAAACACCTCCGCTGCTGCAGTACACTTGGAGACAACCGTAACATGCCCATAGGGGTAATTCGATATGCTGATTACGAAAACGACATTCGTTTTTAGCGGTGGCGCCATCTGGCGCCAGTTGGCGTCACCTTGTCACGACCCTTGTTTTCACCAAAATCGGTGTAAACTTCTGTATAGGGGTTATTTGGGGCCCTGATTACGAATATGACATTCGTTTTTGGCGTTGACGTTCATTGCAAAACCCTCTTTCCCACTAGCAGTGAAGGAGGCTGGCTTGGGGAAAGAGGCACGTACAAACAAGTTTTCTGAAGATATCAGTCGTTCGGTTGATACGGCAATCAACCTAGCTGATTTCACACGTTATGCCAGCCACGCACCACATCCCGAGGTGGGCGGTCGTAGCGGGGCTAGGCGGCGATAGCGCATAGTACATGCCCTGGGCCTTATTACTGCGCCGTTTCGGGTTTTGAGTGTGGGAACATCTCTACGGGTGCGTAACCAAGTACAGGCATGACCGAAAGGGTTGGTTTGGTCAACTAATCCCGACCTTTGCCTTTAAGGGCTCACTCACCTTTCTAATCGGCTGTGCTAAGGGAATGAGAGACTAAGCGCGGAGAGGAGAGTATGGGGCGAGAGAGCGCTACAGATGAGAGAGCGCCAGACAACAGCCTGATAAGAGAAAAAGTCTGCAGCTTGGGCAGCTTACTTTGCAAGGCCCAAGCGCTCTTATCGGTTGGTATTTGTGATTGTCCTTTAGCGGTCTATATTATAGACCGAAGAGAAGTGTTCACACGACCTCTGCCTGGGTTGTGTCTTCAAAGCTAGAAAAAGAAAGCCACGTTCACTTGCTCATCGAGTATACCGCATTCAGAGCTTTGAAAAAGAAGAAGTGGAGTGTCAAAAAACGACAGAACTTTTTAAAACGCGTAATATATAGGGATCGATCGCTTCCACATCCATGCTAAAATGAGGTTTTTCTTCGGAAAACCTAAGTGTTTTAGTTGAATACTGTATAGTTTCTAAGATAAGGATAAAGGATAAAGCATTTGCCGTTGATCAATCCCTTTTTGGGATGCGGCACGCATTCTACTTCCATTTGTACATTCGTAGTGGCGTTTGAATGCGATGTGGCCTATACAATGACTTGCGGGGGCCAGCCGATGTACAAGTCAGTGTTTTTATCCTCCCAGACAAGTCTGGTACCAATTAACCGACCCCGGAGGGATGGAAGGCTTGGTTGGCCCGGGCGACTCACGACCCAGGATTTGATCCCCGGACCGCTCGCGTGGTAAGCGTGCCACTTGCCACTACACCACTTCCGCCCTTCTAAGCATAATCCTGGAAAATATCTCTAAAATAATACCAGTAGAAGGAGCATAGCGGGCACAGGATAAGCATTTGTCGCTGGTCGATCCGTTTTTGGTGGCGTCCAATACTTTTGTTTCGATTAGGAATTGTAGTGGCACTTCTGTTGAGATTTGGCCTATCTCAGGCCTGCGAACGCCGGCGAATTTATTAAATGTAAACAAATGATAGTGATAAACGTTTTGCTATTTCAGATTGTCATGGTCGTTGGCGCATCCGGCGGATCATACATCATTTCCGCTACTGCACAAGCAGTGATCCGTACCATGCTGTTCAATCAGACTGTAAAGGTGAAGAGTTTGTGCTGGCGTTATTTCCTTGTGTAGGAAGGTAGAGTTTGTATTGGATTATCGCTGGGTGCACTTAAAATTGACGAAAATTGCCATTGGAAGAAAAAGCGAGCGCGAAAGAGCAGTTCTGTGATTCGCCCTTAGAAAACGGAATGGTACCGATAGTGTCGTTGAGATTACTACCACATGACTTCTCGACTCTCTTCCTCCTGAACTCGGGAATTCCATCGAGCGGGGAATGCATGTGTAGCCCCTTTGAACAAATTCATGACTACAATGCGCTTCATAAATTTAAGGCCACTCTCAACTTTAACATTTCCAAAAGCAGGTCTTTGAAACCATTTTGATCCGCCCGTTATCGCGCGCTCCTTATGGCATGCTTTAGCGGAACTGGGGGACCCATGGAACATGAGGTGCTCCCTTGACCACCTCACTAAAAACAAGAAGGTAATGATGGAGAGTATTTCAGGAAGCTGTTGATGCACCGAGGCTTCATAACCAGTTTCTGCCCCACGTAACACAGTACGAGGAACCAATGCCGAAGGTTGGCACATATTTTTGTATCGCTCTCGATTACGATGATTTTGGAGAAAAATAATCCTACTTCTCCCAGAAGAATTCCAGTTTTTCCGCATTTGATAAATGGACAGGTAAGTGTAGCAAGACCTCAAGAAACCAGGTTTCGGCAGCCACCTGACTTTGCCTTTATTTTCTGACTACTGTTTTGTGTTCTTTGCGTAATTGTAAAATTTGAACAGTTCATTCCCTAGCTTTTCAAGGCCTTGTTCTGTTGTGATTATATTATAATAGATTGTTCTTTTTGCTTTCGCGCGAAGTATATCTGCATTTTCAAATAAATTAAATAAAATCAAGGTTAGTCGTTATCATCACTGTTTAAGGAAATCATCACGATGTTGATTGATGTGTACAAACAGAACATGACTATGGTTAGCAAGCAGAAGTCGGTCGTACAGGCTCTCGAGGTGCATCCAGACGGTATGTTTAGTCGCAAGCCGTTCTCTGTTGTTTCTATAGACTGAAAGCACAAACTGATAGCTGAGTCGAACAGTGGCTTTACTTTGGAGTTGCTCAAACCGGTCCAATAAGTTTGCAGTATGTATGTTATCAATGCGCAATGAATTTTCCATAAAGCCCGATAGAGGAGTTTCCTTGTTCAACAGCTTTCGCGAAATGTAGGAGTGCTAGTGCGAGGAAACTCTAGGGTTCGCAGGCTGCACCAGACCGTGACACATTAAAGGCAAAAGTCAGGCTCGTGTTTGGGCATTATGGCGCCTGAAATTGAGTGTAGAGATGGGAGGTGGAACGACAGTGAAGAAAAAACGCAAAGAAACCGTCGACAAGACCGAAATCGAAACCCCTTCCCTTCTAGCAGTGAAGGAGGCTTGCTCGGGGGAGAGCCACGTCCAAACGAGTTTTCCGGATATGCCAGCCGTTCCATCGGTTGATACGGCAATCAACCTAGCTGATCTCACACGTTAGGCCAGCCACGCACCACATCCCGCGGTGGGCGGGACCAGCTGATGAAACGAACCCATCGCTGTAAGTAGTAGGCCAGAGGCCTTGACGGCGCGCAATCTCGAGTCAGGAGTGTGGCATCACCCCTCTGAGCGCATTCCTGGAAATATTAGTGATGGAAAGGCCTTCTATGGTCACCTAATCCTGACTCGTGGCTTTAACGGCAATTATGTACATATGCCATTTTTTGCAGACCACGTCGCATTTGTAGCGACTATGGATGCCACGCTCACTACTTTTGGTTTTTTAGCCACGCCCAACTCCCTTCCATGTTTTTCGTGCTAATTCTATAGGAAATACATAGGCATAAATAAAAACGACGTGGTTCCCGGGATGGTCGAATATGCTTCACTTTGGCAGAGGTTTCCTAAGACATACGAGAATATCAATGCATTTCATTTTTCGTCGACATAGACATAGAGTGACATAGCAAAAAAATATAAAAACTAAATGCAAATTTTTCCGGACGGCAAGACATATGTTCCACTGAAAACTGCGTGCGAAATAATTTTGAAACTGCCATGGCAAAAACAAGTGAAGTAATAAGTAAGCTTCAAAGCGAAAGTATGTCCTTTTGGTCAAAGTGATTCTGTTTTACCTCCAGGTAAGTTTACCATATCGCATCCTAGGCCACCCGGGTTTTGCGTAGTTACCAGTCAAACCCACGTATGTGAGGTGAGGCGATCGCACTCGCAAAATCATGCTTTCCCATGCGTCCAGAAAGCCAAAACTTGCGATGTCGTGAAAGTGTTAAGGAAAATGTCAGGCTGGTGTCAGAGTCCGCGATTCGTCGTGCGATTCGCGCAATCGCAAGAATCGCAAGTGCCCCATTTGAACATTTGAAACACTGAATATGAAACAAGTAGAATCATGAACAGTCGTCATTCAACCATCACCATCAAGCAGAAATGGCGGCGGGATTGGAGAGCATCCCGCAGCATTGATCGGGCTTTGTGATTTCTGTGATCCTTCGCGGACGTTGACTCGAGCCCTATGATCAGGCGAGTGTGACAGTGGATTCGTGAAGTCACAGGATGTGCCATTTTCGCTCGCACACGCGTGAGTCAGGAGCAGGGTGAATAACGGTCGAGGAAATCCTCGACAGGGGGTCGTATTTGCTCCGATGAGAGTTGGGAGGGGGTCGTAATCAAAAGGTTCATCAACGGACACAACGGTGCTGCTGCCACTTATTTGCTGTCATCATTAGTTTCACAAGTGTTGTAGTTAGCCTAATGCAAATAATATCTTACAACTGTCTGGAATTAAAATTTAAATGGAAAGTGGTTGTTGGTTTGGTTCGTAGTGATCAGTATGGCATAGGAAGGCAACGCGTCCTGCAAAAGAATCGTAGGGAAAGGGCAGCGAGTATCTACTCTAGAATGATGTACGAGAACTTAGTGGAGGAACAGCATCTTGTTAGAAAGTTCAAAACAGGCAGATTCGCAGCCTTCTTGGCATCATCAGATCCTGCAACCGCAAGCGTGTCATTCATCAGAACGGGTTGGAAAGGAAGCGATTTGAATAAAGTTTTCGAGTGGCTTCGAAAATTTCCTTGACATTTCCTCGACGCAGATTTCTCGCGAACTAGAAAGCGTTCGAAACAACTGGAGCACCTATCAAAAAGCGTAAATCTTCTACTTTACAACGCTTTCCTCCGATTTTCAAAGCATTGCCAATGAAGACCTTTAAAGGAATCCTTCCCAAAAATTTTTGCATTCTCTCTCAACATGAGTTGCCAGTTGTGAGCACCAGAGTTAATAATAAAAATAACAAATATTTAGTTTTCGAAGAAGAACGAACTTACAAAAACCGCACTTTATTTATAATCGAAGGTAAGTGGCGCGGAGCCAAAGGCGGGGGCATGGAGCGCGGAGCCAAGGGCGGGGCTTCAAGATTTTCTAGTGAAGGCACTCCAAGAACCAAGTGGAAGCATCCCGTCGCCAGCATTTGTGACAGATGTCCGGCGGTACTTTGAACGCGTAGCAGCCCTTTCGGTTTTTCGAATTTTTTACCAAAACAATTTTTCTGTTCTTTTCGTTCTTATCGTGGACGATGGGTTCAAGCCAGTGATTTATGGGTGAAATATAATATTAAGTTGTCCAGAAATTTAATGCGGGTTTTTGACCTCCGTCTTCAAAGCAACATATCTCAGCTCAAACTCAACATTTTTAGTAATTCAAAAGAGTGTTGGAAACTACGTATATTTCTAACAGAAGGCGTGCTAAAATAATGCATGAACTCGAAATATGGAAATCATAGAGGCGCGAAAATCGTCGAATGTCTTTTCCCATGTGATATTTTTCAAATAGTCTTCTGCTCAAGAAGCTGTCGGAATGACTGAAAAGTGGAAGTTGGTGAGAACGAGATTCTGTGAGTGCGCCATGTGAGGCAAAGCTGGATAGGTCATTCCTTTCGTTCCTCGCGAGGTTCTTTGTGTGACAGGCTAGGAGTCAACGTGGGGGAGAATTCTTCTCTTTCACTTGAATGAAAAATGGCTGTTCCCGGAAGAGAAGAAAAGAGAAAAAAAGTGGATGACGCAAATGTTAAACAAAAAACGCAAATGCTAATCATAATTTTGACCCATCCTACTAACTATAAAGCGCTTCGTCTGTCGTCTGTCTGTATGTCTGTCACGAAATTCCCTAGCTCCTCGGGATCCGCCTGGAGGGACCGGGTCAAGTGTGGGATGGGTGGGCAAGGTCTCACGAAGTACAAAACACACATCAGCTAAGCGGAGCCCCGCCCACAGAGGGCGTGGCGTGCGTCGAAATGAACTGTACCGAAGACCAAGATTTCGATTTCAGTGACAAAAACGACCTCGAAACTGGGCCAAAAAGTGGGTAAAGGTGTGCATTGGTAAGTCACATCGAATTAGGGAGACCCACCCCCGGTGGGCGGGGCGTTCTCTAAAAAAGCAGTGCTTTATGAAAAATTTCATAACTCGGTTGGGAGAAAGCCTACAGAGCAGAAAACAATTTGGTGTAAGGGAGCAATGTCTAAGGTGTTTCCAGCATACATGACGTGGGCGGAGCGCGCTCTGAAGTGTACAGCATTTTCTACAAGTCCTCATAATTCGGGCCGGAGGAAGTCTTAAGAGCCGGAAAAAGGTGGATAGAGGTGGGTGGAGGAGTGGAGGCCAGCTGTCATCGGTGGGCGGGGCTTGACCAAAGTCTTCTGAGTTTGCGACGAAAATTCATAACTCGGCTGGAAGAAAGCCTACAGAGCAGAAAACAATTTGGTGTAAGGGAGCAATGTCTAAGGTGTTTTCCACATACATGACGTGGGCGGAGCGCGCTCTGAAGTGTACAGCACTTTCTACAAGTCCTCATAATTCAGGCCAGGAAAGTATT